TATTTTGAATATTTATAAAAATTACATTCATGGACATGGATATATGAAAATACCGTAATGTTTTACGGATTTTTTTACCAAAAAAAAACATAAAAGATGTGATATGGTCAGCAAAAAGATTTGATGTTTCAGAGAGAGAGAGAGAGAGAGAGAGAGAGAGAGAGAGAGAGAGACGAAGAAGAATAATCATAATCAGTTTGAAAAGTTTGAATCAAACATTGTTATTTGAATGGTACGTGGGTGGATATTTGATCATTGAAGATTTTTTTTTNTTTGAGAGAGAGAGAGAGAGAGAGAGAGAGAGAGAGAGAGAGAGACGAAGAAGAATAATCATAATCAGTTTGAAAAGTTTGAATCAAACATTGTTATTTGAATGGTACGTGGGTGGATATTTGATCATTGAAGATTTTTTTTTTGTTCCATTTCAAATTCTGTGTGTGTGTGTGTGTTGAGAATTCTTATACTGCAATAAAGTTTTTTTTTCCAGGAAAAAATTCTTCTTTTTTTCCTATTCATTTGTTCGTTCGTTGTTCATCACCATGACATTCAATATATAATACAGGATTAAATTACAAGAAATTTCTTTTGAAAGAAATGAATTTCAATTTGAATTTTCAAACAAACAAAAAAAAAATGGAATATAAAATGAGTTCTTTTTGCTCAGATTCCTGACCATCCAGATTCATCCAGTTGAAGAAATGATTTGATTCTCCAAAATTTTTCATCAAAATTTTGCTTGTTTGTTATCATTGTATTCAATGTTATTTTGGACAGCAACATCCGAAAAAAATGGATGAAAAGAAACAAAACAAAAAACGGATTGATTTATGGTTGAATTAGTTTGATTTTTTTCGTTTTGGCCATTGCTTCAATGACAACAACAGCAACAAGAAGGAGAAGGAGAAAATCTATTCAAACAAATGACAAAAACAAAATAACCGAAAAAAAAAACAAAAACAAAAAACAACCGAAAAAGTTGATGATTTTCATTATAAAAATTGAATCCATTTTCGCATGGCCATATTATTATTATTGTTTTTTATTTGGAAAAAGTATTTTTGTACAAACAAACAAACAAACGATATGTCTTGTCATGATGATGTGGGAATTGTAATAATTTTTTTTTGAAACAAAAAAAATTTGTTATTTTTTTCTGGTCGGGTATAATGGAAATATACAACCGAAACAACCAAATTATAACAATGTTGTTGTTGTTCAAAAAATCATTCAAACAGAAAATGGAAAATATCAAAATAGAAAATAGAAAACAAAATGGAGACATCATCAACTGGATGAAATCTAGAAACAAAATAAAAAAAAAAGAATCAAACGAACCAAAAAAGACGGGAAAAAAATACCCGAATTGAATTCAATAGGAATATTATTATTAGTGGAACAAAATAGAATCCACATATGGAGGGAAAACTGATTTATTTGATCAGAAAACATCATCAATTCGATGATGATTACGTCATTTTATGATTTTGTTTTTGTTTTTGTTTTTTCATTTGTTTTTCATTTCAATGATGATAATGAATTTTCAATGAATTTTTTTTTAATTGTCGAAAAATTTCTTTTGATTGCTGAAATAATCGATTTTTTTTTCGTTTTGTTTGTTTGTTTGTTGTATGCAGAATTTAATGAAATTTTAAACTTATTCATCATTCAAAGGGAAGACTACTGATGATGATAAATGTCAAAACATTCATTCATTTTCTATTTTGAATCCACTCGAACCATACTGGTTTAAAATGATGCAAAATGGAAATCGAATAACAATCCTAACACCAACAGAAAATAACGGGAAATAAATAAATATCCATCAAATTCCCGGCATTCAAAATCTGATCTTCGAAGGAAAAAAAAAGAAAATGAATTTCTCTCTCTTTGCTTGGTTGGTTGTTTGGTCTTTTTTCTTTCCATTTTCGATTTTCAAATCGATTTCGACCGGCATCAATTCTATTCTGCCCACGAAAAATAAATGCATCATCAATCAATCAATCAATCTTCATTCAAAAAAAAAGAAAAACTTTTTTGTAAAGAAACCCAAAAAACCGATACCAGTTTGATTCTTTTCATTTTCGTTCATATAACCAAAAAAATTGAAATTGAAATTCTTTGTGTCGTTGTTTGTCCGGGAGTATTCTAACAAACCGGATAGACAGCAAATTTTTTTTCGGTTATTGTTGTTGTTGTTACTTGCTTTATGGATTTTTTTTCTTCTGTGATCATTTTTCTTTATTCTGTTCATATTTTGAAAGGCAACAACAAAAAATCGATATTCTGTTTTCATTGAAAAAAAAACAACAACATCGGATGATGATGATAAAGTATGGTTTTTTCATTGTTGTTTGTTGTTTGTTATGGTCACCTTTGACATGATTTTAGTATACAAAAACAACGTGTGGTTGACCATCACCATACATGATCAATCGATATTTTTTTTGTGTTTTGATTTCATTGTTGGTAGGTTGAAAGAAAATCTTTATATAATAGTCGAATAATGGGAGAAACCAGGGAGAGAGAGAGAGAGAGAGAGTGGAATGGATTCTTTCTTTTTTTACATAGGATAGATTTCAAGAACAAACAGAATCCATGTTGTTGTTGTTGGTTTATGTTTTCCATACAAACAAACAACAACAATGACACCCAAAGAACAACAACAACATTTATTTCTTTGAAATAAAACAACGTGTAAACAGAAAACAAAAAACAAAACAGAATAAAAAAGATTCTTATCTTGTTTTTATATATTCCTGCAATGTATGTAAGTTTTTTTTGGGATTCTTGACAGTCCCATTCGAAAACAAAAACGAAAACAAAAAACATGTTTCCTAATGCGTGTCTGTATATTGAGTTTGTTTATCGATATCATTTGTTTTAGGTGGTATAGAATAAGAGTGAAAGTAAGAGGAAAACTTGATTCCAAAATTATATTTGGATTCAGAAATTGAGTCAGAAAATGAAAGTTTTTTTTTGTTTTGCTGCACAATATCAGCAGTAGTAATCATTGTGATATTGAGAATCATCGTCATCATCCTCTTCTTCTCCATGAATAGTTGATGATGCTGTTTTTCTGTTTTTCATTCATTCATTCAGCTAAAATGGTAAAATGGATCGACTAAAACAAAAAACAAAAAACGTTGAAAAAAATTTTCAACCAATGTTGGATCCATTTTTTCTTTGGTTGTTTGAATGGTGTTTGTATACTTTTGATATATAAAATTAATGAGCCATAATATTCTATAGCAAAAAACAAAGAAAATCTGGTTTCTTGAATTTTCTGCTCTGCTCTGCTCTGCTCTGCTCTGCTCTGCTATGTTTGTTTGTTTGTTTTTGTAGAAAACAAAACCATTATATCTTATAACGTAAATGGAGATTTTCATTTTTTTTCATTCTTTACTTTGAATTTTTGTTGTTGTTGTTGTCTTATCCAAGATGTTTTCACTATGGGTTTTTTCCCATTACCATCAAGAAATTTAGGAGGTAAATATCATTGACTATATGGAAGATTCTGTACCATTTTTCTTGGCATCTTCATCAGTGTTGTTCCAGAGAAAAAAAATTGATTTGATTTTCTTCTTTTTTTCCATAGAGAGAGAGAGAGAGAGAGAGAGAGAGAGAGAGAGAGAGAGAGAGAATGGTTGCATATATATAGTGATATTAATACTAATGATGATGATGATGATGATGAACAGTAAAAAAAATGACATTATGTGTGTGTGTGTGTGCAATGAATCAACGAGTAAAGACTAAACGAATGTAAACGAATATAATGAATAAGTGCAGAAAAAGAGATAACGAAAACAAAAATAAATTGGGATTTTTTTTTTTTGGATGTGAAAATGAAGAAGGAAAATTTAATACCAATCTTCAAACAAAACAAGAAAAAAGTGATCCATTTTCGTTTGGGTATAGGGTAGAAATAGATATTTAAAAAACTAAACAGAAAATATCAATTCAAAATGGTTTTTTCTACTTCATTTTCTAAGTTTTTTTAACTCCACATTAAAAAAAAAATAGTCTCGATGAAAATGTATCACTCACAAGCATCTCTCATCAGCCATTCGGTTTTCTGTGGATAAAAGTTGATTTTTTTTTTGTGTATATCTTTCGTAGTGATTGAATTGAATTGAATTGAATAAATGAAAAAAGGAAATGACAACTATAGTATAATGCATTATGGAATGAAAATGAAAACAACAACAATAAATAAATGAGAGAAAATCTACTTGAACAACAAACAAACAAACAAATGAAAAGTCGGGAAAGAGAAAAACAGCAAAACATTACTGCATGATAAAAGTCAAAATTGATGTGTATTATAAAACACGAAAAAACAAAATTTCCGGAATAAAAGTATAGTGTAGTATGATGATGATGGAATTTTTCTTTTCTTTATGGAACGTTACCGACATAAACATCTGGAACAACACTACATAGTTGTTGTTGATGAGAAAGTTAGTAAAATGAAAAAAAGTAAAGGAAAGAAAAATTAATCGGGTTATTTTTGGGTATGGTGTGTGTGTTTTTCTCATTTCAATTTTCCTTTCTTTATTTATTTATATTTCCAGTTTTACTTTCATCCAATTGGTTGCCAATGTTGCAAACATTGATGAAGAAGAATTTATCTATTTTTTGTTTTCTTTTGGTTACTTTCATCGTCGTCTTGAGACAACGAGGAAATGTTTCCAATGAAATTGAAAATTAAAAAAAAAAGAAAAACATAGTTGACGACGACGACGACGACGGAAATACCTAATCCATTTACCATCATCATCATCAGCGTTGAGAATTTTTCTTGCTGTTGATTTTTGTCGAGTATAAAGAGAAAGTGAAACAAATGAGCAATCATCATTATCATCAGATATGTGTACATGGGGGATGAATGGAAGAAAAAACAACTGAAAAAAATGTTATTACTTTTTTTTGAACAGAATCTTGCTAAATATTTTGATTAATGAAATATTCTTGTTTTTGTTTTTTTTGTTCATTTACAGGTCAATCATCATCGATTTTTGTTACATCGCAAAGAATTTCAGCCAATATTGGTGATAATGTGATTTTAAAATGTGCCTTAGAATCATCAATGTCTTCATCATCATCATCGACATCGATTTCAATAAATCCATCTTCAACATCAAAGTCGAATAACAATCCAAATAATAATCATCAAGCAGCATTAATTACAAATAAATTAACATCTTTGTCATCATCATCATCATCATCAATATCATCAGTATTATCAACCGAACCATTCATGATACAATGGTATAAAGATGGTTCAAAAAATCCAATATATATTTTTTATGAAAATTTTGATCCAACATATGGTGAAGGATTTGAAGGCCGTGTATCATTGGTCGATAAAAATACCCAAGCATCATTAAATTTATCAAATATTAAAGATAGTGATCAAGGATGGTATGAATGTAAAGTTTTTTATCTAATGCGTGAAAATAATGATGATGATCCAAATAAAAATCGTACAAGAATTTTATTAGAAGTTAACTGTAAGTATATATTCATCAAATAATAACAATAGAAAAAAAAGTTCCTGACAAAAGATGTTGAAAGTGAAAACAACAACAACAACAACTTTTTCTTCTTGTTTGTTTGTCTGTCTGGTATACAAATCACAATAATACAAAAGTTTTGAAATGAATTTTTTTTTAGTTTTCAAAAAACAAGATTCTGTTTTTTTTGCTGTTGTTGTTGAAATGGATAATATGAGATGTTAATGTTAGAAAAACTTTTCAGAATTTGAAACTTTTTTTTTCTTCAAAATTAAATTTTTTCTCCATTCTTTTTGTTTCCCTTTCACCATATCCAATGTATCATACGTTAATTTGATCAACAAACTTTACTTTCAACGACGATCCAAAGAATTTAAAAAAAACAGTATCCAAATCAAGAATGTTTTTGAATACTTCAAAAAAACATTCAGAATGGAGAGTGAGTGAAAAGAAAGAAAAACCTTGCAGGTAACAGGATTTTCTCTCTCACAAACTTTAGTTTTTTCCTCTCCAATTGTATCAACGTTCTAAATGAATATTCAACGTAGGGAAAGGGAAAAAATAATTAATTTTTAAACGAATCAGATTCGTTTTTTCAGGCTTTTTTGGTTTGGTTCGATGATTCATTCATTTTTTTCCCGTAATACTTTTGTAATGCAGGGTAGAGAAGCTTATGATGATTATGATGGTGAGTTATAGATGGATTCATTAATCATTTTTTTCCAATTTTTCTTGCTAAACGAAAAAAAAATCAAATGAATCAAAATCGAAACTAGAAAAAAATCGAGAAAAGAAAAGAGAAAAAACGATAAATTATTCAATATGACGACATTGATATGGAAAAAAAGGGTTAATAAAAAAATGAGCGAAATAGAAAAACTCTTAATCAATATCGAACAACAACAGCAAAAAAAAAATTGACAAGATTCATTAAAATCTTGTTGTTGATTTGGAGGTTCATTGAAAAATTTTCCAAGATTTTTTTGTTTTTTGTTTCTTATTTTGTAAATGAATACAATGTCACAGAATATCGATCGATTCATCTTGATCATTTTTTTTTTTTTTGAAAATTATTGATTACGTTTGATTATTAATTAATTAATTAATATTCATTAATAGGAATTTATGAGCAAATTTTGATTGATTGATTGAAAGTCAGAGAAAAAACCCTTTAGAATTGAGAAACAAGAATTGTCAAGCGAAAGAATTCAATCATTATTCTGGTTGTTGCTGTTGTTGTTTTGCATCTCGAATCCTGAATTGTTGTTAATGATTTTTATCTAATTTTTTTCATAATTGTTTAAGCGCCACCACATTTTAAGGAAAAACCACCGGAAGCTGTTTTTGTTAAAACAAGTGATTCATTAACATTACATTGTCGTGCACATGGTACACCTACACCAACTGTTCTTTGGCAAAAGGTAAATTTTGCATTGAAAAATTAAATGAAAAATGAATGATTAACATTGAATACATTGGTCGAATTTAGGATAATTCTTTAGTTCAAAATAGTGCCTCAATACGTGTTCATGGTGGTGAATTAATATTAAAATCAATACAAAAAGAAGATACCGGTACATATGTTTGTATTGCTAAAAATCGTCAAGGTTCAATATCTGCAAATACACAAGTATTAATATCATCACCGGCTGAAATTGTTAATCCACCACGTAATACAACTGTATTGGAAAATAATCGTGTTGAAATGTCATGTGGTGCACGTGGTACACCATCCAATATAACTTATCGTTGGTATCATAAAGGAATACTTATAAGTCAATTACCAAAATTAGCACATCGTACTAAAATAAAATCCGATGGAACATTAGTAATATTATCAGCTGAACCTGATGATAGTGGTAAATTAACCTGTGATGCTACCAATGGTATTGGTGAACCAGATACTGCCTCTGCTCATCTTAGTGTTGAATGTAAGTTGAATATATTTTTGTTTTCAAAATGATTTTATCATCAATTTGAATGTTTTTCATTTAGTTCCAGCACGTGTAACATATTCACCTGCACGACAATATCTACCTCTTGGTATGTCCGGTATTGTACGTTGTTATATACAGGCATCACCACAATTACAATTTGCAACATGGACAAAAGATCATCGAATGTTTGATCCAACAACATTACCAAATGTAGAATTATTATCAAATGGTTCATTATTATTTCATAAAGTATCGCAAGAACATCATGGTTTTTATCGTTGTACACCATATAATCTACAAGGTACTGGACAAAGCTCAAATTCAATGGAAGTTATTGTTCGTGGTAAGTGTTTTTTATGTTTGTTTGTTTGTTTATTTGATTGATTGTTTTTTTCTCACAAGAATTTATCATTATAATTGATTCATGTTTTGCCTATCTCTCAATGTCTCAATGGTGTGTGTTGTTAATGTATTTTTGAAGAGTCTTTTGAAAACAAAAAACAGAAAAAACAGAATTTTATTTATGGTTGTTTGTTGTTTTTTTTTCAGTTTCATTGAATTTCAAAACTAAATCAATAATTTTGTTCCCCTTTTTGTAATGGCTGTTTCTGATCTTCTTTTTTCTTTGATCGACTTTTCGTTTTCGTTTTTGTCTTTACCATCAATATCGAACGATTCAGTCTGGCTGGTAAAGCAAAGCAAAAACACAGATAGGAAAAAAACGCAGATAGATATTGGGAATATCGTTTGAAATTTTGAAACGAAATTTTGAAAATTTAATCTTTCTGTTTTTATCAAACAAAATGAAAGCTCGTTCTGCAAAAGGCAAACTTTAAAGAAAATAGGAAAAGTTGGCTTCACTGCATTACATTTTGAATTAAACATTAGGACAATGATGATAATGATGATGATGATAATATTATTATTTTGGTTTCTGTTTTTGTGATTTGTTAAAGAAAAAAACAGATGTTTGTTTTTTCTGGGTTACCAAACAATAATAATAAACGAAATCTAACAACAACATCAGGATGTAATCAGGATAATTTATTCAATGTTTGATGATGATAATGATGATAAAACTATTAAAGTTTCTGTTTTTTTTAAACAATTTTTCCAGTTTGTGGTTGCTTGTTTTGGTCTATAAGACCACAAACAAACAAGCAAATGAAAATTAATATAATCATTATAATTATCGTGTCTGGTCGGCTAGAAACAAAATAAATAGAACAATATGTTATTTCAGATGTCTGGTTTACTGATAAAGAATCACAGAATAATATTAGTAAATACAAGTGAATGATGATGATGAAAGATTTAGGTTTTTGTTTTGTTTTTTTTTTGTTATTCTTCTCTAATGAATATCTATCATCATTTGTGTTCAATGCTAAAAAAAAACCATTCATTTGAACCATGTAACCATTTCCAAATGATATAATCAATTCAATTGTATTTGAATTTTTTCTTTTTGAAACTATTTCTATCCATCCGTGTGCATGTTTGTTTGTGTGTCTGTTTGTTGAAATAGTTACCCTACATTTTTATTTATAACACTAAAATTCTATGATCATTATTACTATTTTTTATTCTGTGTGTGGTCTTTTTGATGATGATTAAAGTTTGTAGACAGTATAGTGTCTATAGTAGGCTATTTTAACCGTAACTGTGATATTTAATAAGTAGCCTTGAATCGCACGGAAAAGCTACCATGTTTCTCACGTATATGATGGTCAATATAGACGACTATAGTAATAGCCAACAACAACAACAACAAAAAAAATGTGATGATCATTTGTGATGGTCATCATATTTGATAGATTTCTACGCACACACACAAACACACACATAATAATAATACGTGCAGAAAGAAAATAAAGTGAAATAAAAGGCAACAAAAAAAAATTCGTGATTCGATTTCTAAATGAACAAAACCGAAACAAGAAAAATGATTCCAGCAAGCAAAAAAAGGAAAAAATAACATTAACATTACCATCATTGCATTGTCATTTTTGTGATTTTGGGTTCTATGAAAACCTATACCAACAGAAAAAAAAAGTCAATTCTATTTTTCAGAAAAAAACTATACCAGATTTCTCTCTCATTTTGTCATTGCTTTATGTCGATTATTATTGTCCATTCGAGTTTCATTTTTTTTTCCAGAATTTCTATTCAGCCCTTTCCAACAAAAATCCTGACGTTTGTATATTTATTAGTTATTAGTTAGTTATTGCAAGAAGGAATATAATATTGAAAAATTATTCTTGCTGATTCTCATTGATCGTTTTGTTTTTCACGTTGTATATTGACCATTCTGGCTACAAACGAATCAAACGTTTTTCGCTCGTTGTTTCCCTTCGTTTCAACATTCATTAATCATCAAATCTTTACAACCAAAACCGAACCAAATGGAATTAATCTGGAGTTTTTTTTTCTTCTCTTGGTCATTATTTTTTGTTTTTGTTTTTCAGCAAAAAAAAAACAAAACAAAATCATCTTTCACAATTGTTTAATTGTACCCAGTAGCACAATGTTTAAGTGACTTATGATCGTAAGAAGAAGAAAAAGAATCGTTTGTGAAAAATCTTTAAAGTAAAAGAAAATAAATAGCCATTTATTTATTTTTTGGTTGGTTATTTTTCATATACCGAAAAGAGAATTTCAGATATATGTTACACACACCAATTTTTGTTTTTCGAGGGTAAATGATAATGATGATAGTTGGTTTGGTTTGGTTTGGTTGTTTTTGGGTAACATAGCAATGAATGAATGAATGAATCTTTCGAATGCCAAATGATGATGACAAATGGATTTTCGATTGTTCATGTTTCATCATCATGATGATCATGATGATCATGATCATTAAACATGAACAATAACAATTTTATAGATAGAGAATTTGTTGTTGTTTTTTGATTCAAAAATCATATATATAAAAAACGATAATGATCATCATGATCATCATGATAATGATATAGTCAAATCAATCAAATATGCTGACTTTGTTAAATTTCTGTTTCTATCAACGACATTCATATTTTATTGTTTTGATTTGATTTTTTTGATTTTCGTTGACTTCTGAATGTAATGAATCTATTCTGTACATGATAATAATAATAACAAAAACATCATCAGTTTCTTCATTTTCTATTTCTAATATTGAATTTCATTTAAATAAAAGAATCCAAGAGATGAGAAAAATTGATTTGAATATTAAAATTCAAATTAATAGCGAATTTGGGTCAAACGAGAATAGTCTCTGTATTCTGTACACCATTTAATGTTTGTAAACTAAAGAATTTCTTCTTCACTACTTTTCAACTTTTTTTTTCTTTCAGTTCCAAAAATAGCATCAATTTAATCGGCCAAACAAAAAAAAAAAAAAAGATTAACGGTTCCATTTTCTTTTCGATATTTTTCTTCATTTATTTTTTGAAAGTTATCCTTGGTTATATATAACCAATGAACTTTTCTTTTGATAGTAAAAAGTAGTACAGTAGTCAGTTGTAATACCGAATTTCATTTGATTTGAAATGAAACAAGAATCTTTTTTCCAGAAAAATAACTGAATGAATGAAACTTTTTACTGGATTTCTTTCTCTGTGTTTTATTTTTGATGGTAAAAAAGTGAGGTGTTTTTGGTGTGGATAACACGAATGAAATGAAAAATGAACACAAAAAAAAAATCATTGAAAGAAAAAAGTTTTTTGGTTTTCAAAAATTCTCGTTTCTTAAAGTTGAGAAATTTTACAGTAAAAAAAAAGTTTCAAGAAAATATTCAAGCACGCACATTTCAGAATGTATGTCATGTTTGACATTGACAATAATCATCATTTTGTGAAAAAAGAAACTTTCTGGGAACAAAAATGAATTATAAATTAAAAATAAACAAACAGAAACTGGAAAAAAAATCTTCAACTGTTCTTTTCCAGAATGAATTATGGATCAGAAAAAGAAAATTTTCAAGTATCGTTGAGACAGACAAACATTGACGACACCAAACAATTCAATTCAATTTCAAATGATGAATTTCATTTTCATTTTCTAATCTTTTTCATTTCTTTTTTTTTCTCTCTCTTGCTGCAATAACTGAAAAAACCAACAAACAAACAAACATTCCATTCATTCATCATTTTCCTCAAAGAACCACCAATGTTTAAAATATCACCACAAGAATATTATGTAGCATCATTAGATGATGATGTAACAATGTCATGTGAAGGAATGGGCCAACCAAAACCGAAAATCAGTTGGAGACGGGTATGTATTTCAAAATTTTTCTCCTCACTTCAAAAAACGAATATAAATTATTTTCGAAGAAGAAAAAGAAGAAAATGATAATTTTGTTAAATATTTTAACTACACAAAATAAAATTCTTTCAAATCTTTTTAAAAATGTAATAAATATTCGTATTCGCAAATACTGAATTTAATTTAATTGTTTTTTTTCTCTTTTTTTTTTATCATTGCTGGTAGGATTAAGAGAAGGGAAAAAACACTTTCTTCCCCTTCGCTAGCATCCTTTTTTTCTGGATGTTGATAATAAATTTTATTGCTTCCGATAAAAGAGAAAATTAAGGGAAAAGAAGGGAAAAAAGCAGTAGAAAATGGGAAAAAATTCTTTAATGACGATACTCAATGATAATTTAATGAAATGAAAAAAACGGAATTAGTATTCTGTATTTATGAGTTTTGGGAAAGCTTTTTTTTTTGATCAGAAATTTTTATTTTTATCTTTATTTTCATAGCTAAACTGAAAAAAACTTGTTTACTTGAATTGATCAATCGATCAAATTTGATTTTAAATATTAATTTTTTCGTTTTATTGATCGATTTTTTTCGTTTTTTTTTGTTTTGGATTGACCTTAAAGGTTGGCAGTAATGGAAAAATGCCCAAACATTCATTTCAACGTAATGGTAATATAACATTGGTTAAATTACGTAAAGAAGATTTTGGTCGTTATGAATGTGTTATTGAAAATGAAATTGCAACATTAATTGCATCAACTGAAATACGAATGAATGGTAATTATTACAGATACATTTTTTCCTTATTTATTTATTCAAAATGAACCAAAATTTTTTCAAAAAAAAACCACCATAACATCAACGATCAATCATATATTACGGTCATATTGATCAATCAATCAATGAAACTCATAAAAAATTCATGTTTGAAAAACAAAATTCCTTCATTTTCTTGCCAAAAACGAATACATATCAATAACAGCCAAAAAAAACATCAAAAAAAATATCCATTTTGTTTGGATTTTTTTTTCCTGTTAATGGTTATTTGGGTTAATATAGCACACACATATGTAAAACATTCCACATAGTTACGGGTATAGAAAACGGTGGAAATTATGTAAAGCATGTTGTTCCGGGAAGTTTTTTTTTGTTTGTTAACCATCCAATTATTAAGCTTTATTAATAAAAAGTTTTAGAATAAAATATATATGCATGCATACAAGTTATGATAATTATTTTGTAATTAGATTAATAGTAACAACAACAACAACAACAGCAGCAGCAGAACTGAAAACCAAAAAACACATGCATATTGCACACACACACACACACACACACAGAATAAAAGAACAGAATTGAATTTTGTAATATTCTACCCTGCAAAAAAAAAATAGTTTATCATCATCATTATAATCAACATAATCATCATCATTATAATTCATATTTCTATAAATATAATATATCATGATCATCAGGGTAAAAACTTCTGCTGCTGCTGTAAAAGTGTAGGGTTTTTTTAAAAAAAAAAAAATATTTGATTTTTCTTTAGTTACCATAATAATAGGGTTTGTAAATGACAAATTTTTTTTTTCATTTTATTTATAGACATTGATGATGATGATCTCATATAATATTGAGGAACTACTAGAAAAAACTGTTTTTTTTTGGCCCATTGAAAAAGAATGACAAACGCCTTCTCTCCTGGAACACTATTTTTTTTTTCTTTTGGTTTTCTTTCGGGTTTTGGTTTTCCTCCCCACTGGTTTGGTTTTTTATGGATTCCATATTTTTTTTTATTTTTGGCTCTGGTTTTGCTGTAGTGTTGTAGCATAGTGTGAGGGAGGTTTGCATCCAAGATATTAAACATTTACTAAATGTGATGTACATCACATTTATGATTGAAAAAACATTATTAACAAACAAACAACAGCAAACAGCAAAAACAGCAAGCAAAAAAAAAAAAAATTCATATGGTGAAAACATGGAAACACAGAGAGAACAAAAAATCCAACACCCACTCACCAAACATAATCATCACCCCTAAACATTATGATTAGTGAATGGGAATGAAATGAAATACTGGGATGATGAAATGGCTGTGTGTGTGTAATTTTCAGTGTTGGTTGGTTGGTTGGTTGGTGGGTTCCAAATCATTGAACAAATTAGATTTCTGTTTTTTGTTAGTTTGTTGACCAGAAATTATTATTATTTTGTTTTTCATTTTTTTTGTTCAATATCTGGATCGATAATTTGATAATATTTTTCTGTTTTTCTGTTTCTGTTTTTCTCGTTCAATTCCCATTATAAATTTCAACATTCAACATAGGTACAACGCCTTATGCACCAAACAATTTGACTATCAATACAAGTGCCTATGCAGCAACATTAATGTGGCAACCAAATTTTGATGGTGGTCTACGACAACATTTTACAATCAGGTAAATGCTTGTTTGTTTGTTTGTTTTTCTGTTTTTCTGTTTTTTGTCAATTTCTCAATATCGATCGAATCATCAATTGAATGTAAAAACCTGAACTGAATTGAAATTATTATCATCTTTTTTAAATTAAAAAAACAACAACAACAACAACAAAAACACTCAAAATGAAATTTTCAATTAAATTTTAATGAAAAATTTGTTTAATTTTTTTTCACATTCATAAATGATTATTTGCATTCATTTTATTCATTTTTCTTTTGAATAAAATGGATGATGATTGAAAAACCTTTTACCCACTTTTGAAACATTCATCAAATACTTTGTGATAATAGTGATGAGGAATGGGAAATTCTGCAATTTTTGTATTTCGCTATTTATAGATTCTATAAATCTCAATCAGATGAGAGAGAGAAAAAAAGGAGAAAATTTCGTTTTTTCATTATCATCAGACGAACGAACAAACAAACAAACAAAGTCCCTGTGGACAATTGTGTGTCATTGTTACAAATTGAAATTGAATTTTTTTTCATTATCGTAGATATTCTACCAGAATGCCAGAATCATAATCATTATTGAGAATAATGATGATGAAAATTTTATTTAAAATTTTACATAGAATTTTGGAGAAAGAAAAAAAAACACGAAAACTTAGTGAATTTTCAAATGAATGTTTCTGTTGTTGCTTTTCTTTTCATTGAAAAACATTTCGATTCATTTCATTTCAATTCACACATTCATTGAATGTTTTTTTCTTCTTCTTTTTCTTTGAATTCAAATTGAAAAGTTTGATTTTCATTCATTCACTCTATTTTCATTTTTTTCAATTCTTAGAATTTAGATTAAAAGTGTGTTTGTGTAAAAGAGAGGGGAAGGCAAGATTCTTATAGAATTTGTGAATTTCGTTGAGAGCCAAAAACTATATTTTCCATTTTCAATAATTGAATCTTCTTATTCCTTTGAAATCCTTATTGTTGTTGTTGTTGTTTGAAAACGATGAAAAATGATAATAGAAATCAATATTGTCCATTCAATTTCTGTTTCTTCTTTTTGGCCCAATTGAATAATGCAACTGAACAAACAAACAAACAAACAAACAGAAAAGAAACGAAAGATTTTAGATTACCTAAGCAGATTTCGATTCGTTTTTTTTTATTTCAATTGAATTTTGTCTATATCAAAATGGAGAATAAATTTTCCTAGAATTGAATGAATGAATGGAAAAACATATGTAAAGATGATGAGGATGATGATGAACAAGATTAGATAAAACAAGATGTTTGATTTATGTAGTTAGTTAGTTAGTTAGTTTTTTTTTGTGAAGAAGATTGTATTTTAGTTATTTAAAACTTATCTTTATAAAAATAGCGATCCATTCATTTATATGATGATAAAGATAATGTTTTTTTTTCTTCAAAAAAAAAGTTAATGAAATGGTCATCGTTATGAACCGGAATCGACCATCCAAAATAACAAAAAACAAAGATGGTAAAGAATCATTAGAATGATTGAAATGATACTTGATGAAACTAAAATCAAAATATCCATTATGTATGTGTGTGTGAGAGAGAAAAAAAGATGATTAAGAAAGATTCATTTTCTTCAAGATTCTTCATTTAGATTCTGCATTCCTATACATAGATACAAAAACAATTTTCAGATGGAATTTATTCCAAAGTCAATTAATATTGTTATCATTATCAATTTTTTTCCCTATTTTTTTACTTTCGAAACATTCTCCTTAATAAAAAACGAATGAATCATTTTCATTTCATTTTTCATTCTTCTTTCGCTTACCAAAGGTTAGAAACATGATCCCTATTGATTTAATTTTTTTTTTGTTTCAGTGATGATTGAGAAATTCTTTAAACTAAATAGCAGCAAGTAAGTAAAAATTGCAGTAGTTTTTAAGAGTTTTTAAAGTTATTATTTGATGATTGATTAAGCAATTATCACAATGATGATGATGATGGGCCCTTGAATGAAAATGGTTAAGTTTTTCTTTAAATTGAATGTTGAAGCCATAAAAATGTTGTTTTTTTTGTTTTAAAAAGAGATTTTTTTCCGTGAAAAGAAAAAACATTAAACGTTGTTGTTGAACATTTTGTCATTCTGTGACTTTTTATTGCTCTTTATTTTCAGAAAACTTCTTATTAACTTTTTCCTTCTTGTTTTTTCCCAATTTTTCAACAACAGATATCGATTATCACAAGATGATGATAGTGGTTGGAAAACAATGCGTGTACAACCATCCGATTCAAAAGTATTTAGCCTTTATAATCTACAACCAGATCAAGAATATGAATTTCAAGTATTCGCAACAAATTCATTGGGTCGTGGTCCTGGTTCGGATGTAATAAAAGCTCGTACTAAAAAGAAACCTGATGTTGAATTATCTTGTAAGTAGTTTCTTGTAAATCTTTTCTCTTTTGTTGATGGAATCAATGGTAACAAAATACATTTTCTCTGCTATTTTTCTATTTATTGGATATTGAATTTTGTAAAACCACAACAACAACAACAACAACCACAATGAAAATAGATTGAACATTTTTTTGACAGTTTTCAGTTTAGCGGTTGATTGGAAAATGGCCATAACTGAGAAAAAAAAATCTGTCAAATTCTTTCCAATGGAGAAAACTATTTCTGATTCTGTTTTTCCAATGTTTGAAAATTTCTTCCTAAATAAGATTTTCTTTTTAAAAAAAAACCCTCAAATAGTATTTTGTTTGTCAATTTTCTTTAAAATGAAAAAAAAAGAAAAATTTTTTTATGATTAGATTTTCATTGCATCATTGATTTTTTCATCTTGAAATAGAAGAAGAAGAAGAAGAAGCTTTTCTTCGATCTCAAACCCAAACAACAGATTTTCTTTTCTTTTCTTTATGGCTATCCATTTGGTTTTTTTTTTGATGAATATTCACAATAGCCAACTTTTTTTTTGAATTGAAAACCTTATTTGCTATTTTCAAGTATTGCATCCATTTATGTCAATCAAACGAATCGAGTTCTCTTTCTTTCTCTTTCACTTTCTCGGAATTTTTTCTTTTCTCGGTGACACTTCTCAATAAATTTATATTATTTAGGTACAACCGGAATTCTGGAATATTCTGGTCATCAACAAATGAAATGTCAAATGCTTACACACGCACACAAAAAAAAGTGTTTAAAGAATAACCACTTAGAAGAATCAACAACAACAAAGTTGTCATCAGATTCCATCCAAACATTTCTTTTTTTCTTTTATTCTATTCCATTGTTTCTGTTGAATTATCATAATGGTCATTGGGATGATGATAATGATCATCACATGATGATGATGATATGGTTATGAAGAATGAATGGAAAACGAAAAACTTTTTTTTTTATTCTTTTCATTCCAGAATCCGGTCCAATATCTAAAATCGATTTGTTATTATAAATTTTTTCTTTGCTTTCTTGCTTTCTTTCAACCCAAATATGTTTTCATCTTCAGTCACATGTCATTTTACTTTTACTTTCACTTCTCTTCTTTTCCTCTATTTATATTTATTTCCGTTTGATTCGGTTTGTTATGGTTATGGTTATGGTTGTTGTTGATGGATTCTATCATCCAAATCATCATCAAAAGCGAAAAACTTTTTTTTCCATTGATTCGGCAAAAAATGAAATGAATGAAAATTTGTAGGCCATCTCGAATCATTCATCCATACCGAGAATCAGATTCCTACGACTATCTCTCTCTATGTGTATGTTTTGTCTGTAAAGTTGGTTTTTTTTTTGTGAACAAGAAGCCGAATAAAACTAGAACCGAAAAAAAAATTTCCATTTTCGCATCACTAATTTTTTTTGTTGTTGTATGGACCAAAATCCAAAATCGAAAAATCTTTTTTTGTTACCCCCCTCCCGTATAAAATAACAAAGCAAAGAATAAAAAAAATTGACCGAAACCGCTATGAATATGATGATGATCGAAAAAGAAAAAGAAAAATCAATGAGAAAAACCACCAAAAACACACAGAGAGAGAGAGAAAGAATGATACTGCTGGTATCTTTAGTCTGGTGATTATGATTATGCCAACCATAATATAATATAATGGGAACCGAAGAAAAAATCAGAAAATCCGATAATGAGATGAATAACCAAAAAAAAAAAAAAAAAAAAAAAAAAAAAATATTTTTGGGCGTCATTTTATGAAAAAAAGATGATGATGATG